TTGAGCCCAAAGCCTATCAAGCGACAAGGCAGGGGAAAACAAAAAAAAACAAACAAAAGCAAAATAGAAATTACAAAATTTTGAAAGGGCAAGAGCACCGATCAACCCAATAGCAAATCCCATAACGCCCCTAATGATAACCCAACTAAACACCTGATAATGTTATCAACCAGTCTAGTGACCGACACACAAATTTTATTGAAAATTTTATCATTACGGGCCCTTCAAATGCTCCATAAATAGCCATAAATGATGGCTAACAAAATTTTCATTTCTTTAGACAGTTTCCCCAACCCGCAGCAAAACCGACAAGCCTACTAACCGAAGAGCATTGCTGAAAAGGAATATCGCACCAGATCAAGATCCGCCGAAGAACATCAGAGGAAAAAGGGCAACACACGAGAAGATAATTAGTTTCATCAACCCCATCGAGACACCCGTGACAAGCGTCAGAGGAAACATGAATACCCCCCCCCCCCCCGCCCCCGTAATAGAGCCAAAGCTAATAGAATGCAATTCACACACATGCGCCAAATAAAACAGGTAACCTTGATAGGGACTACATTCAATCATATTGTAGGATTACACATTGGGGTTGTTAGCTTGGAATCAACCAAAGCCGTATTTTTCAATATAGAATTTTGTTAGCATACGTATTGCATTGTATGTATTGTATTATAGATTAGCCCACATCATAGCCCTACTCATATGAAGCCCATATGTTTGATGTATATATTCTGTCATTGTATTGTATGTTGAGGCAATGAGAATGATTTCATTTACATTCCATAATATGGTATCAGACCTTCCCTCCTAAAATCTCTCCCTTCCTTCTTCTCTTCTTTTACTGCTGACATCACCCTAACTAAACCCTAAAAATTTCTTCTTCCCTTCCTCATCTACGACTTCATGACAGGTCCTACAACACCACCACACAAAGTGTTTTGTGTCACAAACATTAAATCTCACGTTCCGCTCATTCTTGATCTCAAAAGAATGAATTATGATGCTTGGCGTGAACTATTTTCTACCCACTGTCAAGCCTATGATGCCATAGATCATATTGACTCCACATATGATGCTCCTGCACCTCTGCCCACTGATGCAAATTGGAAGAAAGTGAACTCTGTTGTGAAAGGTTGGATTTATACCACTCTATCACAAAACCTTCTCAACATGATCATCAAAAGAGACGTCCTTGCTCGTCATGTTTGGCTCACTATTGAAAGACTATTTCACGACAACAAAGACACGAGGGCTATTCAACTCGACACCGAACTCTGCAATATATCTATGGGAGATCTTAGTGTTAATGCTTATTGCACAAAGATTAAGTCTATTGCTGATCTTCTTGAGAATCTTGACCCTCAAGCCAAGGTTCCCGATAAAAACCTTGTCATTTACGCCATTAACGACCTTTCTTCTCGTTTTGATTACGTGGCCAGCATCATCCGCCATCGCCTACCTTTTCCATCTTCTGAAGACACTCGATCCATCTTGCTCTCAGAAGAACAAAGACTTCAACTTCATAGGGCTGCTCTACAGCTGGCTCATGGTCATCACCCCTCGTCACCATCCATCCTCCACACCATGCCTGACAGCAACTATCGACATGAACGTCGCCAAGACCGCCGCCTTTCACAGAGTCGGCATCGACAGCAGGGAAACGACGACACTGGACCGTCTCAACCACCCCAGCAATATGGTTATGTGTTTATTCCTCCACCAAATCAACATCAACGCCCTTGGAGCTCTCCTTCACGACCCAATAGCTATAAACAGTGGGTTGTTTATCCCCGACAACCCACTCCTGGTATTTTCTGCCCATCTCCACAGCGGGCTCCCTTCTCTACTATACAAGCTCATGTTGCCACACCTGCTGCTTCATCAATCCAGTCTAATTCAACATCCATAACACCTCCTTGGGTTTGGTTTGGTACCGAACAATGTCCCACAACTCTTCCTCAAATGTTCAACTCGATGTCACTTCAAGAACCAACCGAATGGGCCATGGATACGGGTGTAACGGATCATGTGCATGCTAATCAAGGTATACTCCATTACCTTCTTGATAAGAATATTTGTCATAATATCCTAGTTGGAGACGGGACCAAGATACCTGTTGTTGCGACTAGACATACCCTTTTCCCTCTTCAAAATAACCACCGACCCCTTTACCTAAATAATGTCCTCATCACTCCCTCAATCATCAAAAAATTTATTTCTGTTCGTCTATTTACCCGTCATAATAAATGCATAATTGAATTTGATGAATTAGGTTTTACTGTCAAGGATTATTGTAACATTCATAAAAATCATGTCAATTTAAAACTTCTTAAAACATTTAAAAACAAATAATCATTAGAAATTTGTTTTCAAAATAGTATCATGTCAGAGTATCCCCAGAATCAAATTAAAAAAATATAAGGAGGTGCACAATCACGCCTTCGCCTTCCCGCGATCATCATAAGTACCTAAAACATAATCAACAACTGTAAGCCCGAAGCTTAGTGAGTTCCATCAAAATACCAACTCCATGAAAATATAACCATATCATATAAACAACATGCATAATGAGCCATCAGCCTGACTGGACCGCCTCACAGGCCATCAGTCTATCTGGACTGCTCTCCGAGCCATCGGCACGTTTGGACCGCCTCGTGGGCCTTCAGCCTATCTGGACCGCTCGCCGAGCCTTCGGACTGACGAGTACGCCCTAACCAGGTCTGCAGTCTATCCGGGCCGCCGTGGGTATGTTGGCACAAAGAACAAAACATGACCGCCTCAACCCAACCCCCAATCAAACAATCATGTGCACATAAATATCATACGCTAGCTAGCATGTACACATAGTCATACAGATCTAACCGATCTCTAACATAGCATCATCCTATAACTAGGATACATATCTAACCAATCTCTAACATAAAATAATCCTATAACCAGGATACAGATCTAACCGATCTCTAACATATCATCATCCTATAACCAGGATATCGATCTAACTGATCACTAGCATATCATAATCCTATAACCAGGATACAAATCATAAAGGGTCGACCTTGGTGCCGTAGACCCTGTTGATATAGTGAGAAGAACTCACCTCACAAGTAGCTCGGGATGACGATGTCAAACTTCCCAAATACAGCTCCAAACTCAAACACCTACATCCACCAATAATCCACTTCCA